ACCTCTGTAAACCTAAATTTCCCCGAACATCCATGTAGTTTCCTGTAATGGGAAACCTAAAGATTCCACCAATTTTCCCATTCCACGGAAACCCCCTACGCTCCGATTCCATCAAGTTTCCTGATTCTGGAAACCGTGGAATTTCAGGTTTCCATTCGGGAAACTACATGGATGTTCGGGAAACTTCAGGTTTACAGAGGTTTCCGTGGTTCGGGATACCTTATGGAATCGGAGCTAGGGGTTTCCGTGTCACGGAAATTTGGCGGAATAACCTAGCATCCGCTAAGGAAACCACTGGGAAACATGATGTAAACTTGAGGTTTCCATGTGGTTTCCATAAAGTTTGCCATGATGGGAAACCATTTTTTCACCCAGTGATGATCCTAAGCCGATAAATACCTAAGATACTTAAATATAGACATAAAATGTCGAAAGTAGGTCACTGTGACCTAATTTTTGGTCGTCACTCTCCGAAAACCCAAGATGCATCAACTGACAAAGTTTGATGATTCTAAGCCAATAAGTACCTGAGATACTTAAATATAGCCATAAAATGTCAAAAGTAGGTCACCGTGGCGAAAATTTTTGGTCGTCACTCTCCAAAACCCAAGATGCATCAACTCAAAAAGTTTGATGATTCTTAGCCAATAAATACCAAAGATACTTAAATATAGCCATAAAATGTCAAAAGTAGGTCACTGTGACCTAATTTTTGGTCATCACTCTCCTAAAACCCGAGATGCATCAACTGACAAAGTTTGATTCTAAGCCAATTTGTAAAGGAAATACTTAAATATAGCCATAAATGTCAAAATTACCGTATATACTCGCCTATAAGTCGGTCCGCCTATAAGGTATCTTAAAAGCTTTATACCATAGGGACTGACCTCATATAAAACCATTCATTTAATAGCTCACCTTTAAGTCGGACATAGCGTTTTGGACCAAAAGATTAACTCCCAAAAATAAATTTTAGGCGAGTATATACGGTGGTCACCATGACCTAATTTTTGGTCCTCACTCTCTGAAAACCCAAGATGCATCAACTCACAAAATTTGATGATTCTAAGCCAATAAATACCCAAAATACTTAAATATAGCCATAAAATGTCAAAATTAGGTCACCTTGACCTATTTTTTGGTCGTCACTCTCCAAAAACCCAAGATGCATCATCTTACAAAGTTTGATGATTCTAAGCCAATAAGTACAGGAGATACTTAAATATAGCCATAAAATGTCTAAAAAGGTCATCGTGACCTTATTTTTGGTCATCACTCTCCAAAAACCCAAGATGCATCAACTCACATAAAATGTCGAAAGTAGGTCACCGTACCTACATTTTGGTGAAAATTTTTTAGGGCCCAAGATGCATCTCCTGACCAAGTTTGATGATTGTAGGTCTGAAGGTAATCAAAAACTGCCTTTTGAAACAATTTAAAACTTATGCCTGCAAAATTCTAAAAGTAAGTAGCAGTTAACATATTTTCTTAAATATGTTTTAAGGTCCCAAGATGCAGCAACTTACAAAATTTGATGATTCTAACCCTTTCAGTGCCTGAAATAATGGGATTTAATGTTTTAAAAAGGTTAAATCATAAAGTTCAAAAAGAAGGTCACGGTCACCTACTTAAGGGTTGAAGTGGTTCAAGAGACCAAGATGCATCAACTGACTAAGTTTCATGATCATAGGCCTTAAAGTGTCCAAAATATGCCTTCAATTCAATTTGAAAACAAATGCCCGCAAAATTTTAAAAAAGGTCACCGTGACCTGCTTTTGAGTTAACATGATGTGAAGTCCTAAGATTCATCAACTTACACTTAGCGTACACAGGTCTTGTTTCCTATAGTAATCCTGTAACTGTTTTTACAATACCTGAGTTTGGTAGGATCATTCTCCTCATGAAGTACACAGGTTTTGTTTCCTTTAGTAATCCTGTAGCTGTTTTATACAATACCTGAGTTTGGTGGATCATTCTCCTTATGAAGTACACAGGTTTTGTTTCCTTTAGTAATCCTGTAACTGTTTTATACAATACCTGAGTTTGGTAGGATCATTCTCCTTATCAAGTACACAGGTCTTGTTTCCTATCGTTATCCTGTAGCTGCTTACTTGGTCCTTCATGTAAGTAGTGAAGCTGGCTCCATCAAACGAAATTAACAAACCCCCATCACTAAGTCTGTAAACAAAAGTTATTAAATCAACTTATATTAGCGTAGGAGAAATTTTCGTGAAAGCTTCATCATTGAGAATATTTTTCACCATCAAGCGGTCCTTAAATAAAAATTCTGTGTCTATTAACAATGGATCCAAAAAGACTTGACCGCAAAAAATAACTGTTCCAAACTAGTTTATCCCCAGTATATCGAGAAATAAAGTCGTCACAAGTAAAAGTAGATACATGTATCAATCATGGTTAAAATTTCACGAATTTGTCAATTGAATAATCAAACTGTTCTCTAAATCACCTGTGTGCCTCCACTTCCAGCATGGAGTCATTCATACAAATAAAGTAGTTGTTTGGACCTGTCTTCACCACCTAGAAAAAAAAACATGACAAAAACTGTATTCATAGGTATTTAATAAAAAATAGTTAACAGCATTATTTTACACACTATTTGAACAGTGTTTTCCTCAATGTACAATAATGATACATGCACAACAACCTTACATTCATGAAATCCAAATCGGTAAAAATGTTCAAACAAGCCCGGTCCTTGACCTTACCTTGACGTTATACTTGATGCCCTCGCTGATGAACTCTACGTCTACATGGTTTTTGAGTGATGTAGCCGGCAGGATCTGTCCGCGCTCCAGCGAGGTCTGGAACATCTGGAAGCACTCCTGGATCTGGTGGTCGCCGATGTGGAGCGCTCCGGATATCACCCCCAGCATGACATCCGGCTTCTCCGCCTGGACGTTCTCAGATATCAGCTTGTCCAGCCAGCCCGTCGTTATCTTGTTGTTCTGGTATTCCTCGGTCTCGAAGAGTTTGATGAGGTATTCTACTGTGGTTCTGAAGTCTCCACGGATTGAGAGCTCCTTCAGTGCCACCACTAAATTCCTGTAATTTGTTTGAAATGAAGTATCAAAAGTATTGACCATGCTTATAATTCCTCTTCATTTTTTTCAAAGTAATCCTTTAGTTATATCAGGGGCTATTTCAATGAGGGGAATTTAAAATGGTTGGTGAAAATTAATTAATGTATGCATAAATAATTTTTTTCTAACTAAAGAAAGTGAACATTTTCCTTTGAACAGAAAATAAATAAATGCAATTTATTTGATATTCCTTTTGATACAAAATATCCTGATATCTGGGAATACCATAACCCCCCCCCCCCCTCAACCTTCCCCCCCACTCACTCTCTGGCGTCCTCCCTGTTCTCTCCCCAGGAGAAGCAGTGTCCAAACTGGGAGTCAGCGTACTCATGTAGTCCCCCCGTGGCAGACACACTGAAATACCCCCACACATTCTTACTGCTACGGAAATTCAACTCCTGGACAGTCCCAGAACTAGGCTTAAATCCCTAGGAAAAACAAGATGTGTTTGTGAAACACTATGTGCCCGGCGGCAACAAAGTTAAAAAAATCTATTTTAAGCATATTGGTCACAGTAAAGGTCACAAGGTCATTGACCGTGATGTCATTTGAAAGAACTTAATCAGTAGAGTATGCATCCCAAATATGAAGTCCCTATCTCCTATGGTTTAAAAGTTATGGCAAAAAGAGTAAAAAGCTATTTTTAGCATATAGGTCACATTCAAGGTCATTGACCATGTTGTTATTTGAAAGAACTTAATCAGTGGAGCATGCATCCCAAATATGAAGTCCCTATCTTCTATGGTTCAAAAGATATGGCAAAAAGTGTAAAAAGCTATTTTTAGCATATAGGTCACAGTCAAGGTCACAAGGTCATTGACCATGGTGTCATTTGAAAGAACTTAATCAGTGGAGTATGCATCCCATATATGAAGTTCCTATCACTTTGGTTCATTAGTTATGGCAAAAAGTGTAAAAAGCTATTTTTAGCATATAGGTCACAGTCAAGGTCAAAAGGTCATTGACCTTGTTGTCGACTAAAAGGGCTTTATTAGTGGAGTATGCATACCAAATATGAAGTCCCTATCTCCTATGGTTAAAAAGTTATGAGAAACAGTGGAAAAAGCTATTTTTAGCATATAAGTCACAGTCAAGGTCACAAGGTCATTGACCTTGATGTCATTTGAAAGGACTTTATTAGTGGATACCAAATATGAAGTCTCTATCTCTTATTGTTCAAAAGTTATGGCCAAGGTTAAAGTTGACAACAGACAAACAGACAAACAGATAAACAGACAAACAGATAAACAGACAAACAGACAGGACAAAAACAATATACGCCCGAGATCTATCAATCCGGGCACATAAAAAGGATTTCAATACAGTATATAATTGTATATCATGAAAGTTATCACATTCATGATAGAGATTCTAGAAATATGTATCCCAGCAACCCAAACACTATTGAATAATTAAAGGCAGAAATTAAAATATATATATATCAGATAACAAGAGGCCCAAGGGCCTTGAATCGCTCTTCTGATAAAATGTACAACCTATCACTTGTATTTGAAGCCTCTAACCCTAGGTATCCTGAGACCAAAGTTGCACCACCTGACAAATTTGATGATTCTTAGCCAATAAGGACTACTTCTTGGTCTACATTCTTGGAAAACCCCAAATGCATCAACTTACACAGTTTGATTATTCTAAGCCATTAATACCTAAGATACTTAAATATAGCCATAAAAAGTTGAAAGTAGGTCACTGTAACCTACTTTTTGGTCGACATTCTCCGAAAACCCAAGATGCATCAAATGACTCTTTGATGATTCTAAGCCAATAAGTACCAGAGATACTTAAATATAGCCATAAAATGATGAAAGAAGGTCACCATGACCTACATTTTAGTCTACATATTTCAGAGTCCAAAGATACGTCTGCTGACTAAGTTTGATGATTCTAAGCCAATAAATACCTGAGATACTTAAATATAGCCATAAAATGTCGAAAGTAGGTCACTGTGACCTAATTTTTGGTTGTCACTCTCAGAAAACCCAAGATGCATCAACTGACAAAGTTTGATGATTCTAAGCCAATAAGTACTGGAGAAACTAAGCCAATAAGTACCGGTCACTGTGACCTAATTTTTGGTTGTCACTCTCCGAAAACCAAAGATGCATCAACTAACAAAGTTTGATGATTCTAAGCCAATAAGTACCGGAGAAACTTAAATATAGCCATAAATTGTCAAAAGTAGGTCACCGTGACCTAATTTTTGGTTGTCACTCTCCGAAAACCCAAGATGCATCAACTCACAAAGTTTGATGATTCTAAGCCAATAAATACCAAAGATACTTAAATATAGCCATAAAATGTCAAAAGTAGGTCACTGTGACCTAATTTTTGGTCATCACTCTCCTTAAACCCTAGATGCATCAACTGACAAAGTTTGATGATTCTAAGCCAATTTGTAAAGGAAATTCTTAAATATAGCCATAAATGTCAAAATTAGGTCACCTTGACTTAATTTTTGGTCGTCACTCTCTGAAAACCCAAGCTGCATCAACTCACAAAATTTGATGATTCTAAGCCAATAAATACCCAAGATACTTAAATATAGCCATAAAATGTCGAAATTAGGTCACCTTGACCTAATTTTTGGTCGTCACTCTCCAAAAACCCAAGATGCATCATCTTACAAAGTTTGATGATTCTAAGCCAATAAGTACCGGAGATACTTAAATATCGCCATAAAATGTCGAAATTAGGTCACCTTGACCTAATTTTTGGTCGTCACTCTCCAAAAACCCAAGATGCATCATCTTACAAAGTTTGATGATTCTAAGCCAATAAGTACCGGAGATACTTAAATATAGCCATTAAATGTCAAAAGTAGGTCACCGTGACCTAATTTTTGGTCGTCACTCTCCAAAAACCCAAGATGCATCAACTCACAAAGTTTGATGATTCTAAGCCAATAAATACCTAAGATACTTACATAAAGCCATAAAATGTCGAAAGTAGGTCACCGTGACCTACATTTTGGTCGACATTTTTCAGAGTCCCAAGATTCATCTCCTGACCAAGTTTGATGATTGTAGGTCTGAAGGTAATCAAAAAATGCCTTTTAAACAATTTGAAAACATGCCTGCAAAATTCTAAAAGTAGGTCACAGTGACCTACTTTTTCTAAAATATGTTTTAAAGTCCCAAGATGCAGCAACTTACAAAATTTGATGATTCTAACCCTTTCAGTGCCTGAAAAAAATGGAATTTAATGTTTTAAAAAGGTTAAGTCATAAAGTTCAAAAAGTAGGTCACGGTGACCTACTTTTAGGTTGACATTGTTCAAGGACCCAAGATGCATCAACTGACTAAGTTTCATGATCATAGGCCTTAAAGTGTCCAAAATATGCCTTCAAATCAATTTGAAAACAAATGCCCGCAAAATTTAAAAAGTAGGTCACCGTGACCTACTTTTGAGTTAACATGATGTGAAGTCCTAAGATGCATCAACTTACAAGATTTGATGATCCTAGCCCGTATAGTAAGCAAAATATAAACATTCTTATTAATTGTAAATTTAGGTCAACTTCAAAGTGACCTTGAGGCCACGCCCTTTGCCCCAGGGTCATGCCTTGAACAATTTTTAATCTTCAACATATCCTGATCCTTGTATGTAAGTTTGGTGAAAATCTGCCAGGCGGTTCTGGAGAAGAAGATTTTTTAGCAACTAGTACTTTTGGTTTTGTTTTCCTGATTATCTCCCCCTTGTTTTAGGGTCCCAACCCTTATTTAAGTATAAATGGTAGCCCTTCGGCCAAGGATACCCTGTGGCAAATTTGGTACTGATTGGCCAAGGGGTTCTTGAGTTATGGCCCATATTCTAAAAAGTTAACGCACACCGCACAAATGGCCATAGCATTAGCTCTTTGAGCCTTTGGCTCAGAAGAGCTAAAAATTAAGAAAGGAAACATTTTTTGTCCCCCGCTTTCGCGAAAGCGAGGGGACATTAAATCTCATTCGTCTGTCCGTCAGTCTGTCCGTCCGTCACAAAAACTTTAACCTTACCCATAACTTTTGATTTAGTGGAGCTATGATTTTCATATTTCATATGTGTATTCCTTGTGACAAGACCTTTCTTTGGATACCACCAAATTTGACCTTTTGACCTTGACCTTAGAGTTTTAACTACTTTTACTAATAAGTGTGGCTACAAGAACTTTTATATTTCACAAATGTATTCTTTGAGGCAACACCTTTTATTGGATACCAACAACTTTGACCTTTGGACCTTGACCTTGGAGATTTACGTACTTCTGAAAAAACTTTAACCTTTACCATAACTTTTAAACGGTAAAAGCTAGGGCTTTCGTATTTCATGTATGTAATCCTGGTGAGAAGACCTTTCATTGCATACCAAGAACTTTGACCCTTTGACCTTGACCTTGGAGTTTTAACTACTTTTTAAAAATGTTAACCTTGGTCACAACTTTTGAACGGTAGAAACTAGGACTTTCATATTTTAAATACTATTTTACAGTATATGTATTCTTTATGGCAAGACCTTTCATGGGATACAAAAATCTTTGACCTATTGACCTTGACCCTAAAAATAATATCTTGCCCACAAAGATACCGAAAGCGGGGGACCACAATTCTTTGAATTTGCTTGTTCTCCTTTCAATTAGCTCAACAAGAGATATAACTCTATTTCCTGACATATTGATTTTTTCATTCTTAGTTCACAAAAGTATATCTTTATATCTTTTTATAGATTCTTACTTCGTCTGGGTTTTCGCTGGTAATCCTGGCTGCTATGACATGGCCCCGGGGTCGGGGGTGTATGGAGGGGTTAGAGAAATCAACAGGACTGTCCCCCCAGGTATCCACTTCATACAGCTGTCTGATATCCTTCAACCGGTACAGGGGCAGACCCATAGCAATCTGTAATACACAAAATATACACTTATAAATTACTGTATTATGGAACTATATTAAGTTTATGCTTCAATTGCAAATAATATTTTCTTTTTCATCAATGAGTGTCTGGATAAAAATTGCCAAAGTTCCACTTCTTAAATTCATGTGAACTATCAAATGAAAATTCTGAAACCTTACTGCATATCTAACTAAAAATGATTAGGCTACTGTGTAAAATGTAAGAGGAGTTCAGGGAAGAAAAGTGACAGACCGATGAACGGACAGCTAGACGGACAGAGAGACATGAGTAACAACAATGTACTGCAAATTCCTTAATATAGTTTGTGTCAGTTGGATTTATATATATATTGCAGCAATATAGTTTTGGTACTTTTAGACACTGAAAAATGTAATAAGGCATATTTTTCTTGAAGCACTAGCACCCTTCATGAAATATGCCTAAGTGACAAGTCTGTGTGATTTTTCACACACCAATAATTCACACTTAATTTAAAAACATTCCTTAAATATATACATAGACTTATATTAACAATGGGTAATGTCATGGAAGTTTTTTAATGGAGGTATAAAGAATGTTTGCGAGCGCTGGCAAACGTTCGCTCTGTTAAACACTGGCCTCAGGTATGGGTATTTAAATCTATATTTATCTCTATTTTAACCAGGAAGTAAATTACAGATCTCGTTCAAGTCTCGACTGAAATCTCATTGACAATCCAAAGTCTAGCTGTCAACAATGTCGTTTGTCGGTCATTCATAAAAGCTGTAAGTACATGTATAATAAAGGTCATTTAATCTCATTTAAATCAACTTTTAAATTTTATATGAATGATGGAATAAAAACCAAGAAAAAATTTATTTAGCAAATTGAATAAATAATTATATCACTTTTGACATGTTTACAAATAATATCTGTTTTTCCCCAATTCTAAAACAAATATAGATTAGAACATATGTATACTAACAACATTCAATCCTATTTTTTCAGATGGCGTTTTCTAAAATTGATATTCCCCGCTGGGCCCAGCACTTTTTAGAGTGTGGCATTGAAGACTGTGAAAGAAACTGTGAGTTCTATTGCAACCCTTGTCATCAAAGATTGTGCAAACAATGCAGAGATGAACATCTGAAAAGTCCAAAAAACAAGAACCATGAAGTGGTCCTTTACCAGCAACGTAAACGACAACTTCCTGTGGAGAAATGCAAGATCCACCCCACAAAAGATGTGGACATGCTCTGTGAAGATTGTCAGGTTCCGTTATGTTCTAAATGTGCTACAATAGGAGACCACCCAAAACATACATTTGTTGATCTTGAAGCAGTCTACGCAGAAAAATTTGCACTCTTCCAACAGGAAATCTCCAAAATTGAAGAGTATTTTCTCCCCACATCACAAGATTTACAGAAAGAGATTAAAAAAGATTCCTCAGAAATCAAACACCTTATGGACAACATCAGAACATCCATGAAGACTGAAGGTGAGTCCCTGAAAAGTTTGGTGGACACAGTCATATCTGAGAACATGAAGCAGTTAGACCAAATAGAGCATTCACTCTTTGAAGATCTAAACACACAAGACAAGACCATGGATGATTACCTCACTTATCTTAATAACCTTGTCAAAGAGCTCCACAGATGCCTGTCCTCTACAGAAACCCAGAAATTAATGTCTGAGAAGAAACCAAAGATCCGATCCATACCAGAGACAACAAAACCAGTCACACCAGGATTTACTGCTGGTCAATACAACAAAAGTGATGTCACCAAATTACTTGGAAGAATACATGTTCACAACACTAAAGCAGAGAAGAGAGAAATAAGGCCCATTGAAAGTGTCTACAACACAGCAATGAAACCTACACATAAACAGATGAAAGAAGACAGAAAGAAATCTGACAAGAAACAAACAATGTCTCTATCTGCCTCTGTCACCAAGGTCAGGGAGTTCTATGTACCAGATGTTGATGGTGTATGTCATGTATCACTAGATCAATCAGACAGACTCTGGATCAGTGACAGTTGGGGTAATCTTGTCCAACTAGATCTACAGGGGAATGTGATACAGAAGATAAAAACCAATGGTGGAGGTGGTTACCACACAGTCACACAGGACAGGGGTCTGATCTTTACAGACCAAGGCAGGAACGTCATCAATAGGATAACACAGGATAATAATATCACTAAATTCATTAAAACTGGGGGCTGGGAACCACTCAGCATACACTCCTCCCACATCAACGGGGACTTACTGGTGGGGATGATTGGTAAAGTTACCAGGTACAACAAGACAGGAAAAGAACTACAGAACATACAAAGGGATAACAAAGGACAGGGACTGTATAATACACCATACTACATCATAGAAAACATCAATGGAGATATCTGTACATCAGACATTAATAAAGGTGTAGTGGTGGTGAATAAATCAGGACAATACAGGTTCTCCTACACAGGTCAGAAATCAGAGTTCCGTCCCTATGGAATCTGTACTGATGTCCTCGGTCACATCCTGGTGTGTGATAGTATCAGTGACACTGTTCACCTCCTTGATCAGGACGGTCATTTTTTGTCTCTATTACTCACACAACAACAAGGGGTAAAGTATCCCCGCAGTGTGTGTGTGGATGATGAGAACAATCTCTATGTAGGACAATATGACACCAACAAACTGACAGTGTACAAGTATCTTAAGTGAAAAATAACATTGCAGTTATGTACATGTATTCTTTCATACAACCATTCTGTGTGTTTACATGTCATTACACAGTTATAATATTTTTCATTATTACACTGTAAGCAAGCAGACATTTTGAATCGTGTACTGTATCGGTGGTATATTACTGGAAATGAATTGTTTTGAGTTACACAATAACTCATAAGTTTAAAGGTACTTAGACACAGAATTGTTGAACGTTTAAAATCGCAAAATCAATGTTTAGTAATAAAGATATGTAATATACAAATGTTTTAAAATTACTTTTGCAAAGGATGCACCCCGAATTTTCAAAATGCAGCGTTGCTAAAATCGTGTTTATAAACACAGTGCTTGTATACATACACACGGTGTTTATTTACACAAACACTGTAATCGTAACTATTCGGAATTTCCGAGTGCCGTCGTAAATATTCAGCCATCCCCGAGACGGGACGAATGCGTGTAACATTTCATGAAAACAAACTACCGAGAAGCCACGTGCAAAGGTAAGAACCAGAGTAAGCGAGTAAGAACATTAAGATATCTAAAAAAGTTGTTAAAGGCATTTGAGATTTCAGCCATAGTTTTACGATAAATCATCTTAAAGTGCACGTAGAACCTAAAAAGAGCCTTTAACTTTCGATATGAAAGGTTTTATCGATTATTCATGAGTATTTATTTACTGGAGAGTTCTACTTCCAGTGTAAATATAAACAGGGCTCGTGCCTTGTTTTGAAAATAAAAGTTTAAATGTAATATATATAAAGTTGCTTTTTAAAATTAATATTGGGTTTTTTGCTTTCATTTATATTCAATATTAACTTTCGAGTCATTAAATCATGCTCAAAACCTATTTTATTGGCCCAATCTGTGTCTAAGCACCTTTAAAAGACCTATGGTTTGAAAATAATCTAGTTGTTATACATGTTAAAGGTGAATTATTTTAACATATAAAAATTTGCTAATTAATTCGTAAATTCATGATATTTTCAGTCAATATTTATTATGAAAAATGTAACAGTTGATAAATATATACAAGTCTACTGGGTTTTGTTCAGTTTACATGTTGATGTACAAAATTTGGCAGCAATCTTTATATAGCGTATATAATTATATTTAAATCCGTTCTCTTGGTTAATTTCCAAATATGCACATTGTCGTATATATTGTATTTAACATGTAATGTACATGTTTTCTACATTTATGAAAATAATGTATTGTCATGGCACAATATTATACAAATTCGAAGTTGTTTGATGCTGGTATGACAAGTTGTAATAAAAACTAATTCATACACGTTAACCTAGATACACATCCAAGTTGTTAAAATTTATGTTGGAGGTGGGGGTGGGGGGGGGGGTATACTGGATATGAGAATTGAGCATTAATTTTTGAAAATAAGGTTAAATATGAGCTATATTTCTTCATTCTGTTGTACTCAGTATTGGATATCAAAGTTGACATATCTCAGGGACATAGCAACAGGGGGGGCAGGGGGGGGGGCTGGGCCCCCCCCCCACTTTTTTTCCCAACGTTACTTATACTATGGGAAATGTTAATTGATAGACTGGTTGGCCCCCCACCCCTTAGAGTTTTAGTGATATACCGAAGTATATATATATATTTAATATAGTATTAAAATTGGTACTAAAAGTAGTTGAAACTGAATCTTACCCCCCCCCCCCCACCCCCCGAATAGAATTTTCGACTTCCGGAAACTTTTTCCTTTTATTCAGGTAAGTAAAAAAAATTTTTTTCTCTGCCCCCCCCCCCACTTTCAAAAACGATACTACGCCACTGTATCTGATGTTGTGACCTAGCTCAGCCTCATTTTCACTTGAACTGAACAAACTTGAATCTTTGTGAAATTATTCTTGTATTTAATGATATTGACTTTTGAAGCTCCTTTGGATTTTTTTTCAGGATTAGAATAAAAGATTTTGTGGTTGTCTATTTGTGTTGTAGACTGTGAATAGATTGCTTACAAACATGCTAGAGAGGTTGTGGATGAGAAGAGGCTTATAAATCTACTCACTTGAGGATCAAAAATTCAGAGCATTGTTAACTGTATCTTCATACTCATGTTCTCAAAAACAAATCCAGTGGTTTTCAAGGTCATAGGAAACCATTCTTAACACTAATATGTTGACAGTGCGACCGTTATGGCGAGCGCAGATGTTTATTTTGTTTTACATATACATTGTACTATGTAATTTAGATCAGGCTCGTCAAACTGCACGTGACAATTGATGCATCTAGACTCTGACGTCACAGGACGTCGAATGTAAGTTACATTCCCAAAAAGAACCCTGAACAGTGCTGAAAGTAAATGAAGAATGTTTCATTTGCTATTTATCTTCAATATTTATCCATTACCATTTAATCAGGGTATGTTTACTTTTAGGTGAACTTTTGCTGCTATTCTCGCAAGAATGTTGATTTAACAAGTGATGCATTGTGTGTCTAAATCACTGCATCAAAAAATTTTATTGAATGAATGTGCAGTAGTCTGAAATTTCTCTTCGCACAGGCGTTGCTTTGAGAGCTTGCATTAACGAGCTTTGCTTTGCGACGCTCACTGCGCTTGCTATAATTTCAATTTTCAAACCCAAATCTAGGCTACATACGAAAAAACGTCAAATAACAAGTAGTTCTACTTTCTACAGTTCTACTGTAAAATAAAGATTAAAAGTATTCTACTAGTACTTGTTACTTTTCTTACCCGCTCATCATTCTTGATTTGTTGGCTTTAAGACGTCACAAAGGTCCTCTGATTTAAACGGATCATTGGACATAATGTAAATCTAAACTACTTTATCAAGCTAATTGTATTATATTTATTTAAATATAAATGCATGTCTGTATTCAGATGAGTTATATGATTTCATAGTTTATTCATTTCAGTCTGAACAATTCATTAATAAATCACGACAACTGAAAACTGGGCTTTTCTTCAGAAAATGCCCCTGATGAATATTATATTACAATTACGCTTTTACCCTCCAAATATGATTACTTAGTTATGCTATATAAATCAAAACTTCAGAAACATGTTTGATACAAAATTAAGAAGATTTCATTGTTTTCTGACAGAAAAAAATATTAAACGTCCTTTTTAAATCCAAGAAAATCACGAAATGCAACAAAAAATAGAATATTATATCGAGATTAACATTATATCATTATATCCACTTACAATAGAAATTTTATTAGGCTAATAAAAATATAAAAGAAATGTTCACAAGACTATGTAGGTTTCACACACAGTGACTTTTGTACCGTGTGAATGGCTGGGGGATAACCAAAAGCTCTACAGTTATGTAAATCACAATAATCAAAACCACAACGTTAACACTTACGAGGTGCAGCAGGTCCACCGAAACAGATTGGGCGGTCAGCAGGATGTTGGTTTCTGTTCTGTGGTGTTGTGGACGGCCCATTGAACTGGCCAGGGGACTGGTGCCTTTGGTACCGGTTTGGTTGAGCTCGGTTAGACTGCCACTGAGATTGGTAGGGTTCCCACTTGGACTGGTGTTCAGAATCATGCACATTATAACTGTCATAGTTTTCATCACTATTCCCATAAAAGTTCCTTGAGGAATTGTCAAAATGTTTGTTTTGGGGTCTGGTGGCTCTTCTTCTGTTTCTATGGTCTTGGTTATACGTAGGTTTTTCGGTTTTGTTTAATGTCATCACTGATTGAAGATGATCTATAAGTTTTGACAGCAAACGTTCCTCCATATTTTCAACTGAGGCAATTATGTTATTTTCACCTTTCGTAATTTTCAAAGTTGATTCAGCTCACTTGGAAAATTTGAACAGATCTTCAATGGTTTCAGGATCTTTGTCAAGCACTTTCTCTGCTATGTTGGATTTAAAGCCCTAAGTAATAAAATTAATCAGCATTCTGTTTGGTATTGTCCTCATCACAAACCATTTGTTGAATCCGGGTTATATATTCCTCTGCAGACTCATCCTCTTGTTGGCGTATATTTAAGACATCAATGTCGAAGCTGATTTTTGTTTTCCCAAATCGAAGAATGATTCCTTGAGATTTTGTGAGTGTGGTTGTCGCTGCAGAAGGGAGGGCCAGGTACCATTGTTGTGCCATATCACTGAGGTGAAACACAAAACCATTAAGGATTTGTGCCTCTGTGAAAGAGTGTAGAGTGCACCACTCAGTATAAATAAAGTCCACAACTGGCTAGCACTAACTTTCGACACTTTTCCAGTGAATTTGGGTAACTGTGCTGTGTTGTCAGTTCTTGGAGTGGAGGTTGTTACACATTGATGAACATGATTTAGGGTACTGTTCACAGACATGATAGAGTATTGACTTTCAACAGTAGTATGTTACAATATCTGTGAACACTGGGGTTGATGTGGAGACGTGATTGTTGCTCACATTAGTTGACACAGTTGTGAGGTTGCTGGCACTATGAGTAAGGTAGGTTGAAGAAGGATTGTTACCTGAAGATGTACTGGCACATTCTGTAACTGTTGAAGATGCAATTGTATAAATTGCAGATTCATTAGTGTAAAAATTGTACTGGCACTTTCTGTAACTGTTGAAGATGCAATTGTATAAATTGCAGATTAACTTAGTGTTAGAGTTGTACTGGCACTCTCTGTAACTGTTGAAGATGCAATTGTATAAATTGCAGATTTACTTAGTGTTAAGAGTTGTACTGGCACTTTTTGTAACTGTTGAAGATGCAGTTGTATAAATTGCAGATTCTGTTAGTGTAAGAGTTGTACTGGCACTCTCTGTAACTGTTGAAGATGCAGTTGTATAAATTGCAGATTCTGTTAGTGTAAGAGTTGTACTGGCACTCTTTGTAACTGTTGAAGATGCAGTTGTATAAATTGCAGATTCTGTTAGTGTAAGAGTTGTACTGGCACTTTCTGTAACTGTTGAAGATTCAGTTGTATAAATTGCAGATTCAGTTAGTGTAAGAGTTGTAATGGCACTCTTTGTAAATGTTGAAGTTGCAGTTGTATAAATTGCAGTTTCCCTTTGTCCTAGGGTTGTATTGATGCTGTCTGTTGAAGACACAGTTGTATAAATTGGTGATTCACTTAGTCCTAGGGTTGTGTTAGTTGTTGAAACTGTTTGAGGGTCTGTTAAGTTTATCAAGCTCTTATTATTATGTGAACCGGTAACATTCACAATGAAGACAGTCCGTGATCCAGAAGTCCAAGGGTTACTTCACTGAGCCAGTTTCGAGAAAATTCAACTTCGAAATCTAAGGCACTTATATTCCAAAGATTTCATCCCTTATTTGTTCTGATCAAGAGTGATAAATCTAATGCATGGTAAAAATTTGGCTGCATTTCTTGTGTATAGAGGATTTGCACGCTGGGAATGGAAAAGAGAAGGAGGTACATGACAGTAACAAAGGATTTAATTGGGTGCGGGACAGATGGACACCTTACTATCGCATAAGCTCATATGGTCTTCAACCAGTAGAGCTAAAAATAAAGAAAAAACATTTAAAACTCAAAACCCTTTTTTCAAATGGATGGTGGCAACAAGAAAGACAGATGGACACCTTACTATCGCATAAGCTCATCTGATCTTCAACCAGTAGAGCTAAAAATAAAGAAAAAAAAATTTAAAACTCAAAACCCTTTTTTCAAATGGATGGTGGCAACAAGAAAGACAGATGGACACCTTACTATCGCATAAGCTCATCTGATCTTCAACCAGTAGAGCTAAAAATAAAGAAAAAAAAAATTAAAACTCAAAACCCTTTTTTCAAATGGATGGTGGCAACAAAAAAGACAGATGGACACCTTACTATCGCATAAGCTCATCTGGTCTTCAACCAGTAGAGCTAAAAATAAAGAAAAAAACATTTAAAACTCTAAACCCTTTTTTCAAATGGATGGTGGCAACAAAAAAGTGAAGCAGCCAATCAAAGCATCAAAATGAAAATTTCTATATCGAAAGATATAAATGTTCAGAAAAACACGGGGGTCAGCCCCTTTCTTCCATCACTGTATACTACCAGCCTTCATCTAATTTTTAGAGTTTTCAATTCCCTTTTTAGTATTTGTGTAGCTAAAATGAGATTGAAAACACAGATTGTCCTTACATATTTTGTCTATATTAGTACAGACATCAGAAATCTCTAACAATAGGTTTTAAGTGAGAGGAAAAAACAAAACAGTTACTTCCTTAACCATGAAAGGAAAACATAAAAATATGCAATTATTGACATCTTTTTATTAAAATTCACCACATTATTAGGTGAAGCAATATAACTTTTACATCATTCAATTATTAAATTTGTGTTCTATATACCAAATTACATCTACTGAAATTCAATGCAAAAAAATAGACAATTTGTCCGACACTCAATAAGTTAATATTCATAATATACAAAACTTGGTTTAAAAGTGAGCACTATATATGATATTCATCATAGAGTAATAATAAATTAGTACAAAAATAATCGTTTACAAACCCTGGTAATGGTTCACATATCATACTGAATTGAATTACAAAACGAATTCATGAACAATTCCAATAATTAATTCATTATGAATGACAGATATGGATTTCATATAATACAATTTTATGCAAATTTGATCCAAATTGCACCTAATGATTTCATACGATTTGTTAAATAGATATGTTATTAAATACGGTCACTGTTGATTCTAATTGTCCATTCTGGTCACGTGTCCATGTTGGCCAGAATTCTGGAGACCTCTGACCTTTGACTTGAGGTCATGTGTTGTGTGATGTGGACGATGGAATCCATGGCAACCTCTGGATTGTTTTGTATCAAACTGTCAACAGTTACAAAGTGTGTAAATTTTAAAGTAAGCTTAAAGCATTATTTTATCAATTAAAGGGAAACAATCAGTAGATTTTATGTCAAAATCTTGATATTTTAGCTAAATTTAATTTAATTCTTCTGGAGAAGAAGACAACTATCAGAATTTCTAGACTGTGCAACCAAGCAATAAATTATGGTTAATTAAAGTGATATATAAATATTATCATGTAAAACCTTTCAGTCAGACAGTCTGGTTCCTAATATTGTTAGCATCCTATTCTTCATTTCTACATGAATAAATGAAATAATGTTATAAAACCCTAGTTGAGCCATCAGGTGATAAATCATGATCAATTAATGTAGGATGTGCTCCCTCTGTAGACATCTGATACCTACCTCCTGACTTGTTGTAGGACGTGCTCCCTCTGTAGACATCTGATGTTGTCTGATACCTACCTCCAGACTTGATGTAGGACGTGCTCCCTCTGTAGACATCTGATACCTACCTCCTGACTTGTTGTAGGACGTGCTCCCTCTGTAGACATCTGATACCTACCTCCTGACTTGTTGTAGGACAAGCTCCCTCTGTAGACATCTGATGTTGTCTGATACCTACCTCCAGACTTGTTGTAGGACATACTCCCTCTGTAGACATCTGATACCTACCTCCTGACTTGTTGTAGGACGTGCTCCCTCTGTAGACATCTGATGTTGTCTGATACCTACCTCCAGACTTGTTGTAGGACGTGCTCCCTCTGTAGACATCTGATACCTACCTCCTGACTTGTTGTAGGACGTGCTCCCTCTGTAGACATCTGATACCTACCTCCTGACTTGTTGTAGGACATGCTCCCTCTGTAGACATCTGATGTTGTCTGATACCTACCTCCAGACTTGTTGTAGGACATACTCCCTCTGTAGACATCTGATACCTACCTCCTGACTTGTTGTAGGACATGCTCCCTCTGTAGACATCTGATGTTGTCTGAAACCTACCTCCTGACTTGTTGTAGGACATGCTCCCTCTGTAGACATCTGATATTGTCTGATACCTACCTCCTGACTTGTTGTAGGATGTACTCTCTCTGTAGACATCTGATGTTGTCTGATACCTACCTCCTGACTTGTTGTAGGACGTGCTCCCTCTGTAGACATCTGATACCTACCTCCTGACTTGTTGTAGGACGTGCTCCCTCTGTAGACATCTGATACCCACCTCCTGACTTGTTGTAGGACATGCTCCCTCTGTAGACATCTGATACCTACCTCCTGACTTGTTGTAGGACATGCTCCCTCTGTAGACATCTGATACCTACCTCCTGACTTGTTGTAGGACGTGTTCCCTCTGTAGACATCTGATGTTGTCTGATACCTACCTCCTGACTTGTTGTAGGACGTGCTCCCTCTGTAGACATCTGATACCTACCTCCTGACTTGTTGTAGGACATGCTCCCTCTGTAGACATCTGATACCTACCTCCTGACTTGTTGTAGGACGTGCTTCCTCTGTAGACATCTGATACCTACCTCCTGACTTGTTGTAGGATGTGCTCCCTCTGTAGACATCTGATACCTACCTCCTGACTTGTTGTAGGACGTGCTCCCTCTGTAGACATCTGATACCTACCTCCTGACTTGTTGTAGGACATGCTCCCTCTGTAGACATCTGATACCTACCTCCTGACTTGTTGTAGGACGTGCTTCCTCTGTAGACATCTGATGTTGTCTGATACCTACCTCCTGACTTGTTGTAGGATGTGCTCCCTCTGTAGACATCTAATACATACCTCCTGACTTGTTGTAGGACATGCTCCCTCTGTAGACATCTGATACCTACCTCCTGACTTGTTGTAGGACATGCTCCCTCTGTAGACATCTGATGTTGTCTGATACCTACCTCCTGACTTGTTGTAGGATGTGCTCCCTCTGTAGACATCTGACACCTATCTCCTGACTTGTTGTAGGATGTGCTCCCTCTGTAGACATCTGATACCTACCTCCTGACATGTTGTAGGACTTGCTCCCTCTGTAGACATCTGATACCTACCTCCTGACTTGTTGTAGGACGTGCTCCCTCTGTAGACATCTGATGTTGGCTAATACCTACCTCCTGACTTGTTGCAGGACATACTCCCTCTTTAGACATCTGATACCTACCTCCTGACTTGTTGTAGGACGTGCTCCCTCTGTAGACATCTGGAGTTGT